CACACTTTTTCTTGGTGAAAATATGCATGCAAAGCAACCCCACACTGTGTCTCTCATGTTTGTGTCGTGCGATCAAGAAGTCCATACGTGGATAGAGGACATACATAGTGGCAGAATGAGACCATGCACGCTTCAAAACTCGCCGGGGAGGCTTGAACCCTTGAGTTTGGTTGGGCATTTTCAGAGTGACAACCATTCTGGATTGGGAATTGGTGAGAATCACCTACAATTGTAAGCCGTCGTGGACTCGTTGACTCGTGTTGTGAAACCACAAGTTCTCAAGAGTGAAAGGCCTTCTCGCTTGTGACATTGTGTGTTCGTTTCAATGCAGTTGTATCCCGACTCCGCCGTACCGCTGATTGTCACGACGTGGTATACGCTACAGGCGCTATGTGCGGTCTGCTGTGTGCGCTGTACTTGTTGTTGTTGTTGTTGTTGTTGTTGTTGTTGTTGTTGTTGTTGTTGTTGTTGTTGTTGTTGTTGTTGTTGTTGTTGTTGTTGTTGTTGTTGTTGTTGTTGTTGTTGTTGTTGTTGTTGTTGTTGTTGTTGTTGTTGTTGTTGTTGTTGTTGTTGTTGTTGTTGTTGTTGTTGTTGTTGTTGTTGTTGTTGTTGTTGTTGTTGTTGTTGTTGTTGTTGTTGTTGTTGTTGTTGTTGTTGTTGTTGTTGTTGTTGTTGTTGTTGTTGTTGTTGTTGTTGTTGTTGTTGTTGTTGTTGTTGTTGTTGTTGTTGTTGTTGTTGTTGTTGTTGTTGTTGTTGTTGTTGTTGTTGTTGTTGTTGTTGTTGTTGTTGTTGTTGTTGTTGTTGTTGTTGTTGTTGTTGTTGTTGTTGTTGTTGTTGTTGTTGTTGTTGTTGTTGTTGTTGTTGTTGTTGTTGTTGTTGTTGTTGTTGTTGTTGTTGTTGTTGTTGTTGTTGTTGTTGTTGTTGTTGTTGTTGTTGTTGTTGTTGTTGTTGTTGTTGTTGTTGTTGTTGTTGTTGTTGTTGTTGTTGTTGTTGTTGTTGTTGTTGTTGTTGTTGTTGTTGTTGTTGTTGTTGTTGTTGTTGTTGTTGTTGTTGTTGTTGTTGTTGTTGTTGTTGTTGTTGTTGTTGTTGTTGGTGGTGTTGTTGTTGTTGTTGTTTATTTTACTTCGCAGATTCTAACGGGCAAGTTGCCCAATAACAAGAAAGCGAAGGCAAAGAAAATAATAATACTAATTAAAGAAATAACCGGGGGCAGCAGAAAATGAATAATAGCTTTTTAAAGAACTCAGATGGTGAGCCAAGGAACAAATTGCCATGTTACAAATAATCCATGTTACAAATAATCGCTTTTAAAAATAAAAAGAAAAGAGCGGGTGGTACAGCAAACTTCCTATTCTGAATTCCCTGAACGAAGCAGAGACATTAGCTGGGTACGACAACGTTGCCATGGGAACTGAACAACAAATGAAAGCAAATACATTGTATTGTATCGTAAATAGGTTTACTATGGAACCTTAACAAGAGAAATGTTGTTCTTTGTATTTTGAATTCGCAAGAAATCCAACACGCCCGCATTTCGATCTCAACAACAATGTTGCCATGGAAACTGAAGACTGGTCATACTGCCCATCAGGCATCACCCTCCCTCCCTCCCCCTCAAAAATTAATTGGCTGAGAAAATTCAAAGAGAAAAACGCACAGATCAGGACTTACAAGAGTACCGGCACAACATGTGGGGCCTGAACTCCCACCAGAACAAGAAGAAAACCAGGGAGCCAGGGAGTAGTACAATACTCCC